AAAAATTGGTCAAATTAAAGAAAAATTAGCAGATTTTTTTACAATATTTTATTTAATTAAAAAAAGATGAATAGGAGATATATTTTCACAGTGAATTTCTGAGATGATTTAAAAAGTATACAACATTATATATATATAAGAAGTTACATGCCAGTTACATGATATACTGTCTATAAATAATGTTCTTTAACCACTTAACTGTTTTGCCTGAACACTGTTTGGTTGCCGTGAAAAGGGACTTTGCCCATACACCGCTCGGGCAGTGTATTTTCCTACACCAATCCACTGATTTTCCTGGCTTTTTCACATTTTTTTACTCTGAAATGTTTCTAATAAGATGTCTCTATTAGTCCAGGAGAGATTGGATTGTAAAATCAATTCAAGGATAGGTTTTACCGCTTTTCATTAAACAAAGAAATTCAATGAGTTTGTTTTCACACGTTCAGTGTATCAGGCTTTGTGAATAGTATTTCGTTCCAATTTTATCATGAAATACAAGAACGATGGATGACAGTGAATGGCTCATAACAAAATATAATTCTGGTATTGGATCAGAAAGTTAATCTTAATTTTCTATAAATGATTCTGGTAGTCCTGAAAGTTCAGATGATGGTAGTCCTGAAAACTGAGTAGAACTGGAAAGAACACTTTACAGGAGATAAATATGAAAGAAGTGAATTTGCTATGAAAGGAAATTGCGGTAGTGGAGGAGGATTAATAGTATCCATTTCTTAAAAATAGAAATGAGAAAAAAGCCAACTTTAAGTAAAAATGCCTTACTTTCGCTGTAATTAAAAATGTGATAAATTAATAAATGCAATGCATCTGTTTTTTCACCTTATTCTCGTCAGCAGGAGGCATTCGCGGCCATGAAGAGGCTAGGGGTGGGGTAACATACATTACTTCCTACAATAGCAATCTTCTTGGAATAGTAATCACTACTATGTTGTTCTGAGCAAGAAATCAAAACAGTCTTCCATTAGAACGTGTGTCAATGTGTTGTGTGTTTTGTCAATTATGTTTAACTATTTTGTCCTTACTTGTAACAGTTTTGACTGCTGATTTGAATTCTTATAATCGATTAGAATACAAAATTGTTTATAGAAAATATGTTTATTTTTGGTCACAATATGGCAAGAAAATGAAACAGTTAAATGGTAAATAAGTACTTTTATATGTTGAATATTTAAAGATTATTATTAATGACTTCTCTCATTAGGAACTTCACATAAAAAAAAAATTACCACAGTGTTAGCTTAGGTGTTCAATGAAGATCAAAGCAAATGACAAAATTATGAACTAAAGGAAAAGTGCACAATGGGTGTGAGTAATATATTTAAATCTTATTCAGTAAATAAATATATGTTGCATTATTAAATTTTATATATTATTTTTAACAAACTAAATATGTACTATATTAACAGTTACACAGTATTAGACTAAAATGCATCACATTGTATTTATTTACATATAGTTAACACAAATAAGACTTAACTTTATTATGAAAGAAGGAACAAAAGGTTTCAAAAAAGAATTTTAGTTTTCATAGGCAGCTACATGCTAACTTTTTGCAGTAGCTCATTATAAACAATTAATATTCAAAATGTTAATTGCTATAAACAAGTTATAATTAAATTTTATTATTTACATATTTGTCAATGATTTTTCAAAAAATTTGCTTAGCAATATTAGCTTTAAATTTGAAATTACAATTTAATTAAAAATAATATTAGTTAATTCTTTGGCACTCAATTTCAATGCACTGAAAAATATGCATAATAATTGTGTTAATGAATAACAGTGCATTTAATATAATATCCATTTTAAAAATGAATCATAACTTAAAGTTAAAAATATTAAAAACCTTCATCAAATTTAATATGAAAAAAATAAAGATTACAAATAAATGATCACCGGTAAAATCAGCTGAAAAAATTATGCCATTAAAGAATGTCAAGTTGCAGTTCAACATGATTACAGGCAGCCTTTGACTTTCACACAATTTCCTATTTTGCACACCTTAAAAGTTATATTTTTTAAAGATTTTTGTCCATACTGAAAAAATTTGCTCGGGTGTCAACCGTTTTTTTGCTCCTTGTTCCATCTGTTTTTCCCCCTTACTCTTGTCAGCAGGAGGCACTTGTGGTCATGATGAGGCTAGGGGTGGGATAACACACATCACAAACATGCATTACTTCTTACAATAGCAGTCTTCTTGAAATCACTACTATGTTGTTCTGAGCAAGAAATCAAAACAGTCTTCCATTAGGATGTGTGTCAATGTGTTGTGTGTTTCGCCAATTATGTTTTAATATTTCGTCCTGATAAACTCATAAGCATGAGTAAGAAACATAGAAACTGTAATGCTGATATAAACAAAGAAATTCAGGACTCAAAAACTTGATCAAGACAAAGATGGAAATATTTAAATGTTCTGAAAATGGTGAATCTTTTGCTTCAATCACATGTTTGTATGACATAATAGATCTACAATGTGTTTAGTTTTGAGAAATAAGAGTGAAATTAAAGAATATGTTCAAAATTGTGAAAATGTATATCTTTAAAGATTGTTTCCAAAAGACATGGCACTGTGGATGACATGGAAAAATCTTTGTCATTATGGATTGATGATCAACATCAAAATAATGTCCTCATGAGTTTTTCAATTATTCAAGCTAAGGCTCTTAGTTTGCATGAAGATTGGAAAAGCAGATTAAATGCAGATTTAAACACACTGTTTCAAGCAAGTAATGGCTGGTTTGACAAATTTAAAACAAGATATTCTTTACAAATATTAAACTTAGTGGAGAATCAGCTGATACAGATAAAGATGCTATAATAGAATTATTTCCTCTTTGTCCAAAATTATTGTAGATGGAGAATATTCTCCCAGTCAAATAGTCAACATAGATGAGACAGGTTTATTTTGGGGGGAAAAAATGCTTAATCTTACATTTTTATTGAAAGAAGAATCAGTGGAAACTTAGCTGGTGATGTAAAATTGAAGCCATTGGTAATTTACCAAATGGAAAATCTCAAAGCATTGAAAAGGAATGCTAAAGAATTGCTTTTGCTCATTTGGAAGTCAAAAATGCCTGGGTTACTGTGCTAATATTTAAACAATGATTCACTTTTCATTTTGCGCTGACAGTTAAGCAATTTTGTAAAAATAATAACTTATGATATAAATCATTATTTATCTTAGACAATGTTCCAGGGCACCTAAAATCTCTGCAGAATTTATATCCAGAAATCGATGTTGTGTTTCTTCTTTCCAATGCTAGCTATTTCATACAGCTCAAGGATCAAAGAGAGAGCTAGTTTTAAATGATATTATATGAGGACAATAATAATTAAGGCAACTAGTAGATGTGGCTAAATTAAGATATTTTTAGAAGATAATAAACACAATAAACAATACTAGAGACTCACGGGCTGAAATAAAAGGGCCGGCAATGAAAAGTTCCTAGATAAAATTATGCCATCAAATGATGACTAATTTTATAAATTTTAAAGAAACACCAGAAGCTATAACAGATGAAATAATTATCCTAATGAATTAAATGTCAACAATGAAGATTTTAATCAGCTGACTAAATCTCATTTCGTTCTTCTGTCAAATGAATACTTAACTGAACAACAATGAAATATAAAATGAAAGTGAGGAAAAAGAAGCTGATTAAAATGTCCAGACTTTAATGGTTAAAAATATGAATAAAGCCTTCATGGATCTTGATAAATTTGTGACTATCTTGGAAGAATGTGGTCTCAATGGAGAACGTATATCTCAAGTACACACGGCAATTTAGAAAGACATAGAAATTTTTATGAAGAGGAAAAAAAAGGTGGTATTAATTAACTTGACAAGTTTATAAACACTCCTTGTTAAGTTTAATGTATACGTATTGATAAATATTTTAAAATACAGTTTTTGGTGCATATTTCTTTACATCTGTCTACTTTGAAACACTTCAACATTCCCACACACTTTCAGGAACCAATTATGTGCGAATGTCAAGGGCCGCCTATATTTCAGTTTCTAAAACCCCAGATGTCAACATAGAATAGCAAAAAATTATCATAAATGCTGAGTACAGTAAAACTAATAAGGATTTTTTGTTTATATAATTCATTCATTTCTAAAATTTATTGTTTCTGAAATCAGAATACGATATATGCAAAATACAGGAGTTAAGACATATACAAATCATTATATTCATCTCAAACTTTTCTCTTTGAACCATCAACAAATTGATATTTTTGAAACCATCTAAGCATAGTGAAAAGAAATATATTTGGGTTCAATCTCAAACCAATATTTACTTTTTGATAACATAATTTTTATTTACATTATTTTACTTTTTAGTGCTTATAACATATTAGTATTTAATAATAACAAACATAAAATTAAATATGGACTAACTTTATTTGTACCATTCTTCAATAATTTTCTTATATTATGTTTCAGTACATAGTGGCAGTACTGACATATCTGTAACTTAATTTTTTGCAAAAGAATTCAGTGACATAGGATTATTTCAGACCATGTATTGCCACATTGGTGGATTATCGCTAATGCTTTATGGAAAACTTATCAGGGATTAGGATAAAGCTAATAATTAGGAAATAGCAAGTCTAAATTTATAGCATGATGCAGCTGATTATTTACATAAGAATGGAAATAATGAAATGACTATATAACTGGGATTTCTAGCTTTTAAAACTGGATAAAAAAGGGGAACAAAAATACTAAATTTAAGTAAAGTCATTATTATTCTAGATAGACTACACTTTGGAGATTGAAGAGCTGCGTCAAGGTTTTTATACATATTGAGTAATTTTATGCAAAACGAAATTATAGTATCAGTATTGCTATTTAAAACTATAATTTTTAAAAGCATATTACCCAGACATGATTAAAAAATATATAAAAACTAGGAGCACATGCGGAAAAAAAAAGTACATGAAAAAACAATTTATATCCACCATTTAATGATTTAATAAAAAGGAATCCACAGAAACTTGTATATATGAAATAGATAAACATTTCAAAAATAAACTAGCAACTATTTAAAAATTTTAAAGGTACATATAATTTTTTTCATAACCACAATTTCTTTAAAGTGTGGTTATTTTAACTATGGAATAATCTAAGCACTCATTTTTAATACCTATTCTCTTGAAATTCATATAAGACAGAAAAATGGATTGTATTAAAAATTAATATGATTACATAAAAAGGAAGTACATATTCCTATGACACAAAAACAATTTTTGTCTTTATTTTGAAATTAAAAAAAAAAAAAAAAATTCTCATAATAAATTACTTTTTAGAAAATTCTGTGTTAGGTATCTTGGGATATACTGATCAATTAGCATAACACAGTTTGCTGTTAGTAATTTTCTTAATATTTGTTTTTAGCTAATGCTCCTAAATACAATTTAACAGATTTATCTACATTTTTTAACTTTTCAGAGTTTAATAAAGAAAAGTTACTTAAGATTTTAACCTGCATTTTACAATAAAACACACTTCCTTCTGATATTCCTGTATTCCTTCTGACATACAGTTCAACTATATAACTTTATTATAGTTATAACAAAATGCAAAGATAAAAAAGAATTTTATGATTAAAATATCAACAAGTCCTACTTTAGAGTATGATATATCTGAATAATTATACAAGAATGAAAATGGGAAGCTGAAATTTTTATATAAACTATGACAAAAAAAAAAAAGAAAACATACATTGTTCTGTTAATAAGACTAAAATATACAATTTCACTGTAATTACACCGGAATATAGACTTAACAAGTAAAACATCAGCAAGTCTAAATTTATAGCATGATGCAGCTGATTATTTACATAAGAATAGAAATAATGAAATGACTATATAACCGGGATTTCTAGCTTTTAAAACTGGATAAAAAAGGGGAACAAAAATACTAAAATGATAAATAACAAATAATATAAAGCTAAATCCTGATACTGGGCATTTAAAAAACCGGACTTCCATGAACAGGCCCTTAAATTAACAACCAGATCTTCAGCAACAATTTCTTAAATTAAGGGCAATAACAATATGAGTTTCAAAACAATAAATACAATAAAATTGTGCTATATTAATAATTCATGCAAAAGTCAAACATATTATTGTATTTCTTTGATTCTAAAATGCACTTTCTTCCAAGCATATCATTCTGAAAACAAAAACAACCTTAGAATTTACAGCTATTTTCTAAATTTGTTGCATTTTGCAATGAAACATCCTCCTCTCTCGTAAATATTGCCAATACCAACACTATCTATGGTTCAGAATATCAACATGGGATAGTAATGTAATAAAGAAGAAATTATCTCAATAATTTTGCTGGTGAATACATATTTTTTTTAAATAAAATATTTCTACACACACTTTTATAATAATAATTAATTTATTTTATAAATAATAATAAAACTACCTTTTATCCTCTCTTTTTCCCCTTGTACTGATACTTTCCTTGTATACATATGAATTAGAAATATAACAGTTTTGCATTTAATAAATTATGATTTCACAATTTTTTAAGTATAATCTTACAAGTTATTTATGTACAAAAAATTCAAATTTAAGGTACAAATTAGAAAGAAACAAAATGTAAACAAAAATCAGACATAATCTACAATCAGCAAAACTATCTAATCTGCACAATCCTCGCTTCAAAGCATACAGATTACAGGAATTTTACTGTATAGTAAAAATATTTGCTATGTGTAATTTAGCATCACATTTTATTAACCTGATATTAACCTGATTTTTTAAAAATGGAATTTCTCCACTGATAGAATGTTAAAATCAAAGAATTACAGTGTTTTTTAGTATGGCAATTAGTGTAATAAATACCATAATTTCTGGAAGAAATGCTGCAGTGTTTATGTGTTTAAAACTTAAATTTTCAATGGTTGCATTGTTTCAACCAATGCTGCGCTTAGGTACACTTAAAAAATATTTCCTGTGATGTCATTGTACATAGTTTGGATGACCTTGTCATTGTACTAGCTTGGTGCTGTTCCCACACAAAAGACCACTCAGTTGCTTTCTGCAAACTTCATTTTGTTTACATTCTTTCACTTGAATGGACCTACATGCCTTATTTACCTTAAACGGGATCTCAGAACAATAACATTCTTCCTTCTTTCAAATCAGCATTCTCATCAGTTTGAATAGTCTCTCTTCTCTGCTGTTGGTTGAATCTTCCAGGACCCATCTCCTCCCCTCCCCTGCCTTTTCCAATGTAAATCTACTGTGATTTTTTTCAAAAGTGGACACGACTCCACCTCAATTGCAGTAACGAACTCTGACATATTCCCCTCTTCAGAAAGAATCGATTTTTCTTGGATAGTTTTTAAGTTGCCGTTTATGGCACCTAAATGGCACAGAAGCTATACTGTTGGTTTTAAGCTTAATATAATTTCATGTGCTGAACAAATTGGAAATACAGCAGTAGCTCGAGAGTTTGAAGTGGACGAGAGATGCATTCGACATTGGAGAACTGAAAAAGAAGAACTTAAAAATATGCCACAACAGAAATGAGCCAAAAGAAGTGGCACTGTAAGGTAATCAAAACTAGAATATGACCTTGCAAATTGGATAAAGGAGCAACAAGGAAAGGGAATAGCAATTTCGACTAAAAATTTGCTTACAAGCAAAATTTATGGTGAAACAAATGAACATAAATGATTTCAATGGAGGACCTTTGCTGGTGTAGCAGATTTATGAAAAGAAAAAATATTTCTGTCCGAACTAGAACAACAGTCGAGCAACAATTACTAATGGACTGGCAAGATAAAAAGCATCTTTTCTAAAATATGTGACATATTATTGAGAAACAAAAACTTCTTCCTTCATAGATAATAAATACGGACGAAATGACATTAGCTTTTGACTCTCTGCAAACAGAACTGTTGATGAAACTGGTGCAAAAATAGTATCCATGCTTATGACAGGGCATGAAAGGATGTCATTTATATGTGTGTTAGCTAGTGCCGCAAATGGTCACAAGATAAAACCGATGATAATTTTTAAAAGGAAAACTATTCCGAAGGGAGATTTTCCTAATGACGTAATTATTTGTGCAAACAAGAATGGATAAATGTGCGAAATAATCATGCATGAGTGGCTACAAAAAGTTGTTTGGCAGTGTCGTAAGGGATCATTTTTCCAACCAAAAGGGTTGTTGATAATGGATTCCATGCGTTCTCATTTACTTGAAAACCAGATGTCAAAAACCTGTCTACGACCTTAGTAATAATTCCTGGGGATTTGACAAAATCTTACAACCATTAGATTTGTCAGTTAATAAATCTTTCAAAGTTGAAGTCTGAAAGCGGTGGGAGTGTTGGATGAGTGAAGGATTGCATACGTATACCAAAAGCGGCAAAATGCGTAAAGCATCTTATGAAGAAGTTGCAAAGTGGGTAAGAAGTGCATAGAAATCGGTGCTGAAATTATATTTTTAGATAAAGAGACTGCAAACCAAGAGGATGAGTGCGACAATCTAGAAGACTTGGACTATTTATATCAGGATTTGCTAAATCTTTTTAAATTCAGATAGTGAAGAATCAGATTTTGATGGCTTGATATGATGTACAGTTTGCTTTAATTCTTTTTGTAAGTAAAATTTAAAATTTCCTTCTGTCATCCAAATTTAAATCTCATTGTTGTGATATTTTTTATATTATAATATGAGTATTACAAATATGGACTTCTTTAGCAGGTAAATATAAGTATATTCATGAACATATGTATATTTTCAAAATTTCTTACCTATAATTTATTTTTGAGTTATGGTTTCATTTCATGCATTTTTTTAAAACTTATATGTCATATATTAGGACATAGGTCACGATTTTGTGTCTGCAAGGTCCATGACGACGTCAAGCACGATTTAATTTATTGCAGCTTTTTCTGCGTAATTTTAGTTTTTTCCCAGCCATTTTTCTCGAATGCGGCGTTTACATTGATGCGGCTTTCCTTCTGGAAATTACAGTATATATTTTTTATTTTCATTTGAAAACCATCAGCTAATAATGTTTCTGTACTGATAAAAATGCTACATAATTGTGTTTTTATAAAGAAATGCAAGGAATGAAACAGAAGAAAAATTATGAATCCTTCACTTGCACATCTTCACAATACTTTAAAAAAAAAAAAGCTTTAGTATTCTTGCCCATTTGACTAATTATTTACATATATTCATTCACAATTCATTACGAATATATAATTTAGTTTTAAACAAACTACAACTATAATAGTGTATGTTAAGAGGCACTCTCTTACAAGATGTGAAAAGCTAAAACTGATGAATGATCATAACCATGACAAATATAAGCTGAGATAATAAAAGATAAAAATTTTAAATTAAATCTATGCACATACATAACAGAAAGATACTTTTAATAGTTAATGAATTACTGCTTGAGTAGTTAAAGTATTTTCTTTGCTAAGATCACCATATGGACTGTTGGGCATAGAATTCACCCGAAAGCTATTCTGAGATGCTACAACATTTACATGATCTTCACTGTTATAAAATTCAGCACTTTGCAAAGTGAGATCTTCAATTATAAAATGGACCTAGGAGTAATAAAAAACTTTATTAAAGAAAATTCAGAAACAATTAGATATTCACTTATTTCTGAAATATATGTTGTGTAATGATTAAAAATGAAAGAAATTCATAAAAATACACTTATGCATAAACATGTGAATGAAGAGCCAGAATTGGCATGTTGCCTCTGCATACTAGGTCCTAAATTCTAATAATTTTGTTTCCCCTAAATTAAAAAAATTTTGTGGTCCCTAAATTTTTCTGCTTAGAAGTTTCTCTAAATTCTAAAAATATTTCCATCCCTCAATTCTGGGTGTTCACCGAAAAACACTGACAATGAATACACTGTGGAGAAAACAACAGAAGAAGGGAAACATTGTATAAAATATCTACAGAGAAAAGAAAGGAGAAAACATCACAATTCTAAAAGGGATAGAAAATAAAGCAATGCAAAAACTTCACAGTTTTAATATTTCAAAATATGATAAAAAGTAAAACATCTACAAATCATCCATAACAATATTACCACAGACATGGTTTTCTAACTTAAGAAAAAAGTGGATTTTTTCCTAAAGATTCATGAACACAAGAAGAAGAAAATAACAATTTTACCTCTATATTTCATATTTTTGAAATAATTGATAAATTTTTACTGAAAAAGCAAAAGGAAACTTAAACATTCAAAATCTGGAAATTAGTAAAAATTAATTCTAAGTATAACAGTTAATAGAATTTTAAATTCATGTTCCTAACTTTATCTCTTTTCTAAATACAAATTAGTAGATTTTTACAATGTATATATATATGTAGTACCTGGAAGTGCGACACAACCACCAGAGGGCCTCCCCGATGCGCCAGCAGCGAGGTAAAAGAGGAGTATGACAGAGACTCTTCTGCTATCCCACGCGAAGGTGGTGAGATGTCTGTCTGCACGTGAAGGTGTAGAATAAGGAACTGTAGTTTTCCACGCGAAGGTGGTAAATTAAACTGGTTTATAACATTAGCAAGTGTGAGTAGGCACTAATCGGTTATGTGGTAAGACTGGTAAAACTATACAGAATCCTGTTTGTATCAAACGGCACTTGTATTTAATCTAATTTGTACCTTTTCTGATTATCTTTATTAAATGTTCTGTGGTGTGGAAAACAACGTTGGAATTGTTATTTAGCATCTTCAACTCCCCCACTACAGAAAATCTGGGGGCCTGTCCGGGATATTTGGATACTTGATATTTGGATACTTGATATTTGGATACTTCATACTTGGATACTTCAGAGAAGGTACTGTGAAAACTTTGCTTTATTTCTTTCTTGAAGATAGTGATACTTTTGTTTCGTTTTTAAAATGAGTTTCCTAAATAATTTAAAGAAAAGTGATTTAATAGTAATTGCGGAACAAATTGGACAGACTGTTCCAGAAAATGCTAAAAAAGCTGACATTAGAAAAATTATCGAAAATTCTGATGTTTTCAAAACGAACGTTGAATTTGTTCGTGGCGTCGTCAAGTCGATCGGAGGATCGGACGCCTAAAACAAGTAATGAACACTATCTGTTAGAGATCGAACGTCTTAAATTAGCTCAAATTGAGAAGCAGATTGAATTAGAAAGTTTAAAAATCACAATCATTATCGAGTAATAGAGGAAACGCGCAGACTAGTGTTGAAGATATTATTAAAAGCGTCAAAACACTAACTATAGCTGTACCTCAGAAACCGGAAGCTATGCATTTGTTTTTTCAGTCGCTTGAGAAAGCTTTCATTACTAAAAGTGTACCAGTGGAGTTAAAATCAGAAGTGTTGATTAATGTATTAGGTGATAAATGTAATAATGTTCTAACGTATGTTTCTGAACAAGAAATCGCAGATTATGATAAATTAAAAACTCTAATCTTGAAAGAATTTCAGCCAACACCGCGTGAATGTTTGAACAATTTTAAAAATGCGCAGAGACATTCATCTGAATCGCATGTTCAATTCGCGTCTCGACTCAGTGCAACTTTCAATTATTATTGCAAGCTAAGAGAGGTAGATGACTTTAAGAAATTGTGTGATCTCATTGTATCTGATAAGTTGTTGTATGAAACTCTTGATTCTAAAACAAAGGAACATATTAGTGTTCGGGAGGGTCAAAGTTGGTACCCACCTAATCAATTGGGAAGAGAATGTGATTTATTTTATTCATCCAGGGGTAAATCTTTAGTTGATACCAGTAACACACGAATCGAAACTCCAGAAAATAAAAAGCTTAATTTTTCCAAAAACAATCTTAGAAAAGCTCAGAGCAATTTCAAGGATTCAGGGAAGTTTGTAAATCAGGGTAGTAGTAAACCAGAACGTATTTGCTATGTTTGTGGGAGTAAAGGGGAATTATTTCACTTTGCGAGAAATTGTCCCAAACGGTTAGGAAAGGAGGAAAGTTTGTCTCCAAAAAAGGTATCTGGGTTAGAGATTGAATCGGATAATGCAGCTAGAAATAAGTTAGAATTTATTGAACTATTGATTGATGGTAAAAAAGTAAAATGTTTAATAGATTCTGGAAGTGAATTGATAGTTGTAAAGAAAGAAATCCCTTTTTCCGAATAAATTATCAAGTGGATGTATAGAACTCAAAAGTTCGTTTGGTCACGTGGTTAAAGCGGAAACGGCTAAGAAGTTATTTTTTCTTTATGCGAAAGCAAAAAACAAAAAGAGATAGAAGCAGCGATGGTTGATGAATTGATAACAGACTGTATTTTCCCCCCTTCCTGTCTAAAAATGATCTGTTGTGACCAGGTGATGATTACGCAATATGAAAATGATTCCGTCTCTTCGGAAAGGAATTTTTTGTCTTTTATTTCTGCAGCCATTGAGGCAGACAGCGAAACAGATTTATGGCATATTAAAGATGAAGGATTACGCAATACTGTTTCCACTCTTATTAATGAGTATAAACCGTTAGAAAAGCCGCGCAGTACAGACTTAAAAATGAAAGTAATATTAAAAGATGATATTCCAGTTTCTCAGCGTTCGAGGAGAATTCCTTTTGCTGATCAAAAAATTGTTGATAATCAAATAGATGAATGGTTAAAGGATGGGATTATAAAGCCGTCGTGTTCAGAATATGCTTCGCCAATTGTTTTGTGTAGAAAAAAATCGGGGAAGACACGGATTTGTGTTGACTTTCAGGCAGTTAAATAAAAAAATAGTTAAGGATTCTTTTCCTATGGCACAAGTAGAAGAAGGTTTTAGATCGTTTGGGTGAAGCAAAGGTTTTTTTTCGACATTAGACTTAAAAATGAGTTTTTTCATGTTCCAGTGGAGGAAAACTGTACTAAATATTTGGCATTTATTACTCATGCAGGCTTGTACGAATTTCTAAAAGCACCTTTTGGTTTGTGCACGTCCCCTAGTGTGTTTCAAAGATTTATTTATAATGTGTTTAGAGATTTAATTCGGGATGACACTGTTGTTACTTACATGGACGATTTTATTATTCCAGCACGAAACGAGAAAGAAGGTTTAGAAAAGTTGACACGCGTTTTAGAAGTAGCCAAAGAATATGGTTTGGAGATTAATTTTAAGAAATGCCAATTTTTGAAAAGAAAAATAGAATTTTCTCGGGTATGTGTTATTGAGGATGGTACAATTCGCCCCTCTACTGAAAAAACCAGGGCTGTTCAAAATTTCCCGGAACCCAAAAACCTTAAGCAGATTCAAAGTTTCTTGGGCCTTACTGGGTATTTTAGGAAATTTATTGCCAATTATTCAAAAATAGCGAAACCACTAAGTGATCTTCTTCGTAACGGAGCAGAATTCAAATTTGGGCCTGAGCAAAAAGATGCATTTAATAAATTGAAAGAACTTTTATCCACAAGTCCGGTTCTTCATATTTTTAAACAAGGAGCACCATTAGAATTGCATACAGACGCAAGCAGTCATGGTTTCGGCGCTGTATTGCTACAAAAGTCAGATGATGGACAGTTACACCCCATTTACTTCATGAGTAAAAAAACTAGTCTCCAACAAGAGAAGCTATCTAGTTATGAGCTTGAAGTTTTAGCTATAGTAGAAGCTCTAAAGAAATTCAGGAATTACCTTTTAGGATCTAAGGTCAGGATAGTTACGGATTGCGATGCTTTCCAGAAGACCATGTTTAAGAAAGATCTAACCCCTAAAGTGGCGAGATGGGCGTTACTTCTAGAAGAATTTGACTATGAAATTGTTCACAGATCTGGGCAACAAATGAAGCATGTGGATTCATTAAGTAGAAACGCGGTTCATGATGGTTACTTGTTCTCAGGGAGAAATTACAGCCAAAATCGCAGCTGCGCAAAGAAGTGATGAGCGTCTCCAGTTGCTAAAATCCTTAGTCGAGCAAGGACTAAAGAAAGATTTTCTAGTGAAAAATGGAGTATTATACAAGTTCGACAGTGGTCGTGAGTTACTTGTGGTACCCGAAGCATTAGAGCTAGAAATCATACGTAGTATCCACAACAAGGGACATTTCGCAGTGTCTAAAACAGACTTTTATATTCCTAACCTTAGAAAACGAATTGAGCAAGTTATTTCAAATTGTGTAGAATGTATTTTGTGCGACAGAAAACGAGGGAGGTAAGAGCGAAGGAAGGGTTGCTGAATCCCATACCAAAAGATAGTATCCCTTTGAGCACTTTTCATATCGATTTTATAGGACCATTACCTTCGACAAATAAGAACTACAATCACATCTTAACCGTGGTTGATGCATTCACAAAGTTCGTGTGGCTCTATCCAGTAAAGTCTACATCAGCTCAAGAGGCATTGCAGAAGCTGAAACTGCAACAATCAACTTTCGGTAGTCCTTTGAGAATTATAAGTGATAAAGGTACGGCGTTTACCTCTAAAGACTTTGAAGATTACTGTAGTCAAGAGAAGATCCAGCACATATTTACAACTACAGGCGTTCCTAGAGGAAATGGACAAGTGGAAAGGATTCATCTCACTCTGATTCCAGTCCTATCCAAATTATCCATAGATGATCCAACCAAGTGGTACAAATATGTTGGAGATGTACAAAGGATCTTAAACAGCACTAAGAGCAGAAGCACAAAGAGTTCTCCATTTGAGCTTCTCACTGGTGTTAAAATGAGAAATCGAGAGGACTTAAAGATTATGGAAATTCTTGAAGAAGAAGAAAGAAATATTATGATGAAAGATCGAGAAGATATGAGAGAGGAAGCAAGGAAAAACATTCTAAAAATTCAGGAAGAGAATAGAAAAACATACAACAAGAAGAGAAAAGAGGCACAAGTATACAATGTGAACGACTTAGTTGCCATACAAAGAACGCAATATGGAGGTGGACTAAAGTTAAGGCCAAAGTTCTTCGGTCCATATCGTGTAACAGCGAGGAAAGGCAAAGATCGTTACCAGGTGGAAAAAGTGGGACACCATGAAGGTCCTGGATGTACCACTACAGCAGCTGATCTCATGAAGCCGTGGACTTCTACTATATAGAACTATGTGTGGTTCTTCCACACTTCTTTCTTTTTTTTTTTTTCCTTTTCTTTTTTTTTTTTTAAATTTATTTTCAGGTGCTGTCTTGATGTTCCAGTGTTGCTGATCCGTGTTTTCGAGGACGAAAAAATGTCAGGAAGGCCGAACTGTATTACCTGGAAGTGCGACACAACCACCAGAGGGCCTCACCAATGCGCCAGCAGCGAGGTAAAAGAGGAGTATGACAGAGACTCTTCTGCTATCCCACGCGAAGGTGGTGAGATGTCTGTCTGCACGTGAAGGTGTAGAATAAGGAACTGTAGTTTTCCACGCGAAGGTGGTAAATTGACTGTTTAATACATCAGCAAGTGCGAGTAGGCACTAATCGGTTATGTGATAAGACTGGTAAAAGCTATACAGAATCCTGTTTGTATCAAACGGCACTTGTATTTAATCTAATTTGTACCTTTTCTGATTATCTTTATTAAATGTTCTGTGGTGTGGAAAACAACGTTGGAATTGTTATTTAGCATCTTCAACTCCCCCACTACATATATATATATATAAAGATGATTAGAAAAAGGAGAATACATAAATTTAAAATTCTGTTAACTGCTGTATCACTAATTTTTACTGATTTCCAGATTTTGAATGCTAAGTTTCTTTATTGGTTTTTCAGTTTAAATTTTTTAGTTAATACAATGACATATAGATGTAAAAACATTATTTATTCCTTCTTACACTCCAAATCATTATGCAAAAATTTAAAAAAATTTAGTGTTTGGTACAACCACCTTTTCCTTTGCATTGTTTTCTCTCAGATATTTTTGTCGACAATGTCTTTGCCATGATGTTTAGACCTGAATCTAAATTGTGATGCCTGGTACACCTGCACCAGTTTTGGCAATAGGCAGCAGACCTGTATGAATGCTCTAATATATCCCGCGAATGTCAGGTAATTTACTTTTATAAAGGTTTTTACAAGAAATTTTATGAAATATAGTGCATTTAAGTTGAGAAATATGTTGAAATATGAGACCATCAATTTATACCATAAAATAATCTAGGTAAAACTTACAGCATGAAAGCTCCATCACCTATATATTTTCTAAAATTTCATATTAAGGCTAAAAATATGTATGATTTACACAAGTATCTGATCAGCTCCAAAAAACAATTACTTATTTATCTGTGAAAAGTTACATTACATAAATTTCTTAGATTTTCTTAAAATGGATTCTACATATTTGTTGATAACGAGAACATGTTTTTTAGCAAGTGCACTGGTATTTAATGTAATCTGTATTAAGATGATTTTCTTGTTGTGGCCAGTTGTGTAGATACTAAGTCTGTTTAATGTGATGTTGTACACTGCGGGGGAAAAAAAAAAAAAAAAAAAGAAAAGAAAAAGGGACAGTTCTATATCTCCCATTCTACTGGGCCGATTCACAAAATGATCTATGATCCGGACCTCAAAGCTACAAACTTTCTAACGTTTACACGCGTCTAATGCGTAACGTTTACGCATGCACGTTTAATGTATAACAGACGGTATAAGCTAAGCTAAAAATATCTAATTATTTATTTCAGTTAATGTTGCAGATTGCGTTGTTCCTTCATCTTCTAATTGGATCCAACTTATTATTTTTGTAGACTGTTAGAGCAATTTAAAAAGTAAGCTTGAGTTTCGATTATGTCAAAAAAGAGTTCCGATTCTGAAGCTGCAAGGATCTACAAGCAAAGCATGTTTCGATGTCCTTCAAACAAAAGTGGAATTGCTACAAAAAATGATAAAGGCATGAAGAAAGTACAGAGAGGGTGTGTTCGTTGACAAGTCATCGTATTCTCGCCATAGCATTCACGACTTGAACAGCAGACTGTAACTGAACAAGAAATTTGTCTGTATAGAATTAAAGAGAAGTATACACTAAAACGAAGCAACTTAAACAACTTACATTGAAAGAAATGTTTAATAAAGTAACAATAAATATTAAGTTTTTTTTTTTTTTTTTTTTGTAAATGTAGATCCCTTTAGATCATAACTGCTCTTATTTCAAAATTATGGTTTCATACTTTAATTTATAATTTCTGCATCCTTTTCCAGATTTGAATTGATGATCTATAATCCAAAACCCCTAATCTGGAATTGCTGAGTCCCGCAGTCCGAATTAAGACTTTGTACTGTATTTTGAATTAAAAGATTTTTGTAAAAGAAAGAAATAACAACTCCAGCAGTACTTATCCTGTACCACCTAATTCTTATATCGGGTGCAAAAAATCTTAATCATATTATTTAGAGTTTAAGTCTAAAAATTTCTATATTAAAGAAGGATGTTTTTTATATAATCTACAAAACATGAAAAAATTACTACTTAAAACATTCTTTCTAAGAGGATTAATGTAAAAATTTATGATTATATATATTCTTTTTAAAGCTGGGCCATAACCCAAAATGTCAATGTCTTGTTCGTTTAAAAACATTGTGGGGGAAAAAAAAAAAAAAAAAAGCGAGCATTTCTCGGTTTTAGACAATTAATTTAAATGAAGTTAAAGTAACGTAGCAGACGATAACACAACGAAAGTAAAAATTTATTCTTACAAATATAAAAAAAAAGAGGAAAAAAGAAATTTAAAAAAAAGCTAAAAATTTGAATAATATCATCTATAATTTAAAAAAAAAATAGCTTTTCATTAAATATTTATGCACCATTGAGAGAAAAATTTTTCGTATAATTAATTTTTGACAAAAATTTATTTGAAATTTAAGGTTAAAAATAGCTGTAGCAATTCACTGTAGCAAAATTCATAAATCACATTTGGCATTATTATCACTCAAAAAAAGATGCCAAATTTCAAACCGCGCAAATATGTAAATTCGTGTATATCTTAGAAAATTTTGAATAAAAAACTAATTTTTTGCAGGTATGCTTAGAAATACACCTACTTTAAGATGATAATAAAATTTTGTAGGTTATTCAAAAATGTTTTCAAAAAATATTTAAAAATTATTTAAAAATACAAATTTTAAAAATAAATCATAAAAAATGGGTGAATTTTATTTGGAATGAACCTAAATTTCGAAATGTGAAAGGAAGAATCATAAAGGTTTAATAAAAAATGAGATATTAATAAATATATACCAAATTCAATTAACATGGAGGAGCTAAAATTTTGAGAGCTAATTTTTTAAAAACTACTCGTGCAATTTTTACGAAGCTTGGTAGTCTGGCATAATTTGAATCATAGAACCGAAATATGGAAAAAAAATGCATGTCATTTTAGAAAAAGTCTGATTTTATGTCAAAATACCTATGTTAGAATGATGCTATATATATAAATCTAATATATTTCCTAAGTCGCGCTTTTGAGACATAAAAAACGCAATTTGAATTTCGCCAATCGGCCCAGTAGAACAGAAGGTATAGAACTGTCCCCCTCTTTTTTTTGCGCAGTGTACATATTTAAGGCTTTGTATTACCAAGGTTCTACAAGTACTAGTGGTTAAGTTTTTATAATTTAAAATCAGGGGGGAAAAAAACACAACCTTAATTTGGACATGTATTTTAAATAAAATTCTATCAATTTAGAGAGGGATTGCTGCCTCAGTACTTTCAGATTAATGGGAAGACAAAATAATTTGTACCAATCTGCCAGATATGATAACCAAATGATAACAGTCATGATTCTTCAGAGACAAAGAAAGATACCATCTATTCCGAAATACTTTATTTAAAAAACAATAAAATTAAATTGCATTTTAACACTACTGACCCATCAAAACAGTGCTGCCTTAAGCAGAAAGTTTTACAGGGTAAAAGCTTGTTTAAAGGTTCACACATTCTTCTTCCTTCTAGCAGCTATTCAGTTTACTTACTTCAGGTGCTGGTAAAATCCAGTCAACTACAACTAGGAATAGAATACTGTAGAACTATCAACTGAAATAATTACATGCATTCTTATTTATGAATTTCTGTATTTATCATTGCATTTTTGTACTTATTTTAAATATAATTAAAATATCCATTCTTTTCATGAAGCTGCATAATTTTTAGGGTAACCACTTGATTAGATTTCATGCAAATACATTTTATGCCAAGTGGCATCTCATGAACTGAAAAGTATTGATATTTCATGAAGGGGATCATATATGAAGTCAAAGAAGATAACACTGATGAACAGAGTGTATAATAGCAGAGTTTTGACTAATTAATAACAATGTTTCATTACAAGCATCTACAAAGAGTACCAAAGAATAAAATAAGTACAATACTGGTAGAAGAAAAGTAACATTTAAAATACACATATACTATAATTTTCAAAAAATATTAATTTCAGTGCAAAATAATAAGTGTATTTTCAAAACCAGAAAATTTCACATTTCAATACAGTAAAATAGTTAAAAACAAGAAACATTTCAAGTTTTCCTATAATCTATATTAAACATATAAAACTAGTGATCTGATAACAAAGTTTTAAAATAATTACCTGAGGTGAAGATATTGAAATACTCTGCATTTCCCTAACAAAGGTGAGGATGAAAAAATCGAAGGAAATTACTAATATCCATTCTGCAGCTGTGCTTACAACATGAGCAGTGAATCCCTAAATCACAAAAGATCAACTAAGAACTAGACTAGAAAATATGTAAACAAACTATAATTATTAGAATTTATTTCACAAAATAATACAAAATGGGCACTGAAAGCCGTTCGCTATGTCAATATCATGTGTCCTTTTTGCTTCACACATCATTATTACATACACATTAATGATACTCCTAAAAACAGAATCAAAATAAGTCTGTAATTTTTATTAAATATATTATTTATCCAGTCTTTATTGTAGCTTTAATTTATTTTGTCTGCCTTCACTAAAATGCACATCAGCTGGATTTAGTAAGGATATGTATAATTTAAGAAGAGATCTTGGACAATGCACAAATAAGCAGTTTATTTTCCTGAGCCATCCACCTGTCTGAACTGGTTTTATCGAACATTTCTTATATTTGATAGCACTTAGGCCTAGATGTCACAGTTAAAGCTGAGTTGTTTAGACATGTTATACATAGTTATGATTCTAAGATTCAATAAGAAGTGGCAGATGAATTTTTATTAAATTTTAGTTTGTATCTACAAGATAACAATATAATTAGCTTTTAGTTTTGTTTTGTCTGTGTTCTTCTAATTTAGAATTCTAGGTAAGTGTGAAAACAAGAATTTATGCAAAGCACTGGAGGAAGGTTAAACAGTTTGTAATTAATAGCTAGTTAGATTTAAAGTTATCAGTAGTGGAGAAAACAGCCTCTAGACAAATGATTATATGTGGAATTTTTAAATTAAATTAATATAATTTTTGTTGACAATGCCCTTAATAATATCAATACTTATGACCAATTAGTAATATGAAAAATTTTTGCTGTCATAATGAATGAACAAAAATGAGTCTGATCAAATGGAGTATGGCATAAAAAGCCTCAAACACTCTTATATGAAAATGACGGATCTATATGATGATAAGAAACATCAATTAATGTTATTATTTGAATTGTTAAGTGCTGTTCCCATCTGCACCGTAATGACACAAAATATAAGCCACAAACATACTCATGAACACAGTACTCCATAACAAGACATAATGCATATATTTATAATACTCTGTATTCTCTCTCAATTATTCCTCTTTTCTAGTCCCTAAAATAATTCCTGGGATCATACTTCAGATTTCTGATATTAACTGAGTAGATAACAAATTCATGCCCACCTTGGCTGAAACTAGTTAGTTTAATGGCATTAAGTCAGTAAATTTTTTGCACTATTAAATAAGCCTCTATCTCCTGCGAGCACACTTGTTGTTTGAAATTTTCAAAGAAGTATTAAATCCAACTATCAATCTAGAAGGTTCATAAATTCGTCATGACTGAAGCAACAATAAAAATGTCCAGAAGTAATATCACTTGCTCTCAGTTTGGGAAGAGAGGACAGAAAAAAACTTTCTCTACAAAGAACTCCTCTTATTTTTAGGTCATACCACTACTCATGTGTCTCAGCCATTATCTAAATATGATTTTAAAATAACGAAAAGAAAAAAAAGTCTCTTCAGAAGAAGAAACTGGAAACAATGGGTCAGACCTATGATGGCATTCTACTGGATAAGTAAGGTTCTTCCAAATACAAATACATCCATTTCACAAATACGTGGTAAACTTAAGAAAAATAAAGGCACAATCTTCAAAATACTGATGTAATGTTAACAGCAAACACACTCTGTTAAGAATTAGAAAAGGCAGTTTGTTTTGCATGCACTGTAGATGAAAACAAATTAATGTTGATAACTTTTTTCAGATGATGTAATCTGCATCTTCTCATAAAGTGTATATATATATAGTACATAGTGTATTCAGAAACTAAGTACCGTTTCATTCTAGCGCCGCCGCAGTGCTGTAGTAGGCGTCCCGCGCATGCACACTAGTCTTTCTTGTTCACTGACTTTCAATTGTCACCATTTTGGTTGCTCTATGTTGTGTTTTCAGTTTGCTGTGCCATTCAAAATGTTTTTAAACATTATTTTCCTGATGTGAGATTCGTGCCGTGATTAAATTTTTGAAGCGAGGAATGTTAAACCGGCCGAAATTTATCGTCAAGTGACAGAAGTTACGGTGAATACGCGATAAGTGATGGAATGGTGAGAAAGTGGGTAAGAATTTAATGCAGTCGAACAAATGTCCAGCGAGGCTCGGAGTGGTCGGCCTTCTTTGTCACGATGATTTGGTTAGGGAAAGTGATGAAGCAATTCATGAGAACAGACGCTTCACAATGAAACTCTTTCAGAGGCATTTCCACGAATTTCACTTATGTTTTGTTGAAAATGTGTCTGACGCTTGAATTATCGCAAACTGTGTTCCCGATGGGTTCCAAAAATGCTCTGATGTTCACAAAAACAAAGCTACTTGGTAGTGCCCTGATTTCTCACACGGTACAGTGATGAGGGAAAAAAACTTTTAAACAAATGTGACAGGCGATGAAACTTGGGTGTGTCATTTCACACCAGATCGAAACGACAATCGATGAAGTCAGACACGCTCATTCTCGAAAAAACAAAAGTTCAAAGTGACAATGTAATCACAAAAATCATGTGCACTGTCTTCTGGGATAGGAAAGGCGTTTTGCTCACTGAATTTCTTCCCGAGGTGAAACCATTAATGCGCATAATTGTGAGACTTTAAACAAAACTAAGGCCATGCCATTCAAAACAAACGAAGAGGAATGCTCAGTAAGGAATTGTGTTGCTCCATGACAATGCTGGCCCATACTGCTGTGTCACTCAATCGTTAATTCGACAGTTGGGAGCAGTTCGATCACCCGCGGTACAGCCGGACTGGCACGTCCGACTATCCTTGTTCCTGCACATGAAGCACGAGCTTGGTGGCAGCGCTTTGGGATCTGACGATGACACGAAAATGCTGTGGAGTCGTGGTTTTCGAAATGGCGGGAAGTTTTTTGACGATAGTATACAAAACCTGGTCACCCGTTGACAAGTGTTGATCATTGGCGGAAACTATGTTGAAATAGTTTAGATTATTTTCATGTAAAAATAAATTGGATTCGAAAAAATTGTTTTACTATTTTTTTTTTCAAAACGGTACTTAGTTTCCGAATACGCCTCATATGTTATCTTATTATCTCTTTTGATAAAGGCAGTTAGAATTCTAGTGAAATGAAGTAACTTATAAGCATATTTAAAAAAATAAGTAAGTAGGTTTAAGTTAAAATTGAAGTAAATGCACTGTATAAAATTCTTAAAAACAATCAAGTACTGAATAACTTTATTAATCATCGCCTTAAAAGAGCAGGCGTTAAGTACTCAATCTAAATCATTTGGCTGATAGGGGTATGAAAATTTATTCTTAAACCTTAAATGGCAGTATATGTTGGATGACTTCCATTAAAAGATTTGTAAATAGTATAATTATTCATGTTATTGTATGTAATGTAAAAATCATTATTTCTGGCATTTTCTTTAATGCTGGTACTAAAAAAAAATGGGCTCATTTCCAAACTTTTTCGAAGTGTGCTTAAAAGCTTTTGAGCAGACTTAGAAAGACTGCCCTTGAAGATTACTATAGTTCGACCGTCTCAAGCACAACCCTGGTTGACATTCTGCCAAAACACACAGACTCGTCCAAAAGGGGCGATATTACTTGCTGCGATGTGAAAGGTCTTCTCTTCTCCAGAAAGAGCTATGCTGGAAGGAAAGAAAATCTCCATCCTTCCACCCTATTTTAAGAATAATTCGGTCCGAATGGCGCATGCGTGTTTGCACTCATGGTCGCGGATGAGGTGGTCGAACTATAGTAGTTTTTTCCTGTTTCTGCTACGACATTAGCCAGAAATTAATTAATTTGTTTTGGTTGGTCAGTTTAAAGTCAAAATTTCTTACACTCAAAAGAGTTCCATGACCACTTCTTTCTGGCATTCTAAAAATAGATTCCAAAAATCCCCACCTACACACTAACTTATTCTCTCTGCCCCTTCTTTCATTGTCCTGGTTTGAATTCCAAATTCCATTTTGAGTACGAAGCAAGTAACGGACTTATCTCGCTTTACAAAACTAACAAGCCACGCAAGTTAATTTATTCATCTTCTGGTTATTTATGTATATTATGTATATTTTTTTTCATGGATTTTTTATTTTATCTTTTCATCTTAAGTGAATATAATTTTATTGACTTTTTCTTACTTGTTTAATTATTTTTACAAAATTTACACTGAGCTAATATGATTAAATGCAAAGACGTTGGGGGCATTTTTTGCAAGTAAGAAAATACAACTAACTCTTACAATAATATATCATGATTTTGAAAGTTTTTTTTTTTTTTTATAACTTGATAGAACAGCCGCTTTCTTACTGAATTCTATACAGTGCAGTTACTCCAATTCTAACTTAAATGCTACTTACTTAAACTCATTTTACTAAAAAAACTTTTTGGCATAATAATTCTTACCTGAGAGAAAGATGAAACACCTTTGCATTTATTAATTATTGTTAATTGATCAGAAGTTTATTCCCCTTGAAAAGTCAACTAATTCCCGGTGAATGATGATAATTACTTGGTTTATTGATTACATTTTCAATTTTACCTTTTTAACAGTTTCCATTTTCAATTTATTCTAAATTCAGTTTTGATGTTTCCATTTAAAAAATTTTCCAAGATTCATTTTTTAAATATGCTTATAAGTTATTTCATTTCACTAGAATTCAAACTACCTTTGTCAAAGGAGATAATATACTAAATAATATTGGAATAAATATTATTGTTATACTTGCACTTTGTGCAAGTATCGGTAAGTTATTATGATTAATTAAAATGTTACTTATTAAATCAGTCAAAGCGTTATCGGATCATCGGGACTCATCGATTCAGGAATTATCATTTTTCCAATATAGATCACCAGTTAAATCTCGTAGTGGCATGCACAATTCTAAATAAAAAATATCACCGTTATTTTAGGAAATAAAGAACATTATATCTAAAGGATCAAATACAAAAAAAAGCTTAATATTTATTGTTACTTAATAAAATTTCTTTCATGTAAGTGTTTAATTTATATGACAATACTTTCTCTTTAATTCTATAAACGACAAATTCTTGTTAAGTTAAAAAGTCCGCTGTTCAAGTCCCGTAATTGCTGTGCCGAGAATCCGACTAATTGTCAATTGAAATTTTTTCGTTTTCACGAACTCTCGTCACTTCGTCAGGTCTTTATCATTTTTGCAGCAATTCACTTTTGTTTGATGGACATAGAACATACTTCATTTTGTATCCTTTCGAGCCCAGAATCGGAATGATATAACGAAAGTTCAAGTTAATTTTAGAAAATTGACTCTACAGTCTGCAAAAAATAATATGCGCCATCCAATTAAAGATTAGGAATAATGCCATCATAACATTAACTGAAATAGAAACTAAAGTTGCTTTGCGCACACCCAAAGCGCACGCGTAAACGCTAGCATGTGTCAACGCGGCGCATGGCAGAAAGTTTTTAGCTTTGAGGCTCAGATTATAGATCATCCGGATTATGGGTGTCCGAATTAACGACTTTTGACTGTATACACATAATATAAGAGTAATATGCATAACTTCTGAACATAATAATCAAATTATAAAAATTACAATTATGATCTGATAAAATATAATTTTCGCAATGAAAATCGACAATATACATTTATATGCAGTACATTTCAGAATTATAAAAACCTTTCCCCATCAGTCTCTTCTTTAGTAAGTCTACATGCATAAGGCATGTGCATACACATGCACGCATATATATATATAGTAAAGAAAAACTCTTTAAAGGTGCAGTTTCTGTTGCATTTTAAATTTCATTATGGAAGCTTTCTCAGAAAAGCACATTATATTAAATGAAATATGTATTGTTAAAAGCTAAAACATATACCACATAACAATTATAAACAAGTAAACTTATAAGAAAAATGTATGTGTACATACATAATTAAAAAATTACTCACCCCATCTGTTGGATGCCACTTCGTCTCATCCTTACCATGAAAATTTTGATAGGCTATAATTCCACCAATTAGAGCTTTTTACATTAAGAAATATTATGGGAATGGGAATTAATAAAACACATACAGATTAAAGAGCTAAAAACTGCAATACCACTTTATCATACATGAATTCGAAGGATCTATGACCACTTAATCCATGAATGCCTGCAGTTTACGCTCATTTTGAATGTAAATGAAGTTCTCCATTTTCCAAAAATTCAACACATTTTATTTCTTAAATCAATATGCAAATACAATTTTTAGTAAAATTACACTATAACAAATTTTGATTGAAAAATAAATGAATTTATTTCAATACTGAAGTTATTTAGCATTTTCTGCATGTGCACTTCTCTTTTTATATTAAACACTAACAGCTTCGCTGCCACCCTTCGTCTGGCTTTTAAATGTACCGTAAAAATGGCTGAAGGGAACACCAAACGTTAAATTTAAAAAGCTTGAATTTTACTGCAAAACAACTTCATAAAAAAAAGTTATTAGTTAACAAAATACAATGTAATAAGCAAATATCCTTAATACAAATATTAATTATCCTGATAAATAAATAACCAAACTTCCCTTGCAAATCTAAGAACTCATGGTATAAAGGAGGTTAAGGACTTTGTTTCTAAAAAAAATCACTCAAAATTTTAATATCTTAAAGACAGTGAAATGAGCAATAAAAACATAAAAGATAAAAAAAACAAAAAATTCTGAAAAAAAGTACATAATTAATGATATTTATTTATATTTCAAGAGAAAAAAATCACAATGAAAAAGCTATATCTCTTAATAAAATATTAATATCCTAATAAAAAAATTAACAACTTTCCGTGAAGAAAAAAATCAAGCAAAACTTTCAGTATCTTAAAAACAGTGAAATAAGTAAAAAATAACATGAAAAGAAACTCAAAAAAAAAATTTATCGCAGAATTTTACTCTGCAGACAACTTTATCAAAAAAAAAAAAAAAAAAAAAAAAACATAAAAAAAATAAAATAAATAAAAAATTAAAAAAAAAAAAAAAAAGACATAAAAATAAAAATAAAAATGTATTATTCTATATATAAAAATGGTAATGAATATGCCAATCTCTTAAAAACAGTGACTGAAGAAATACGATGAAAATTGTTTTCATTCTTTTAGAAATATGGGTTGCCAAACCCATATTTCTAAAAGAATGAAACTATTCAAAATGATGCGGTTTCACCAAAAATCTATCAACAACAATAAGAAAGGAAAATTGTTGCCAAAATCACATTTTTAAAGATGTGAGAAGTGTACTCGGAAGCTTCATTTAAAAAAAATTTTAAAAATACAAAATATCATTTTTCCAAAATTCTTTTTCTAAAAGCAGTCGCAAGGATGAAAGTTTAACGTGTTCAAAATCAAAGAAAAATAAACTTACATTTTAAAAATACACATTTTTAGAAAAAATCCCGTTGAAAAGGTTGTAAGCTTTCTGTTAAATAATCGCCATTAATCGATTTATTGAAAAAGAAATTTATTTTAAGTTCATAAAATAACTATGTGCCTACGTTTCATGACGATTGTGAAATGGAGTGGTGTAAGTAAAATCTACTTTCCTATAGCCCATTATGTCTCAAAATGACGCGATTTCGTCACAAAACATGAAATATAAAATTCGAATTCGAATTTCTGAAAAATCGCTTTCGAGGTGCACTGGCTCTTGTCTAGATGCACCTAGGTATCAAATTTCGTAGCCATGGGTCTATTAGCTTACGCGCAGCAGGAACGAAAGACACACGTACACAGACAGACAGACTCTTTCTTTTATTATATGTAGAGATGATAACAAATCTGTAAATTTTTTGTTTTAAATTATTATTATTTTTGAGCTTATGTTCCACATCTTAAAATTAATTTTGAGTTTATAAACATATGAACTTCATTCGGCAATCTGTAAAAATTTAACTCATTAACAACTCAAAGTTAAATACCTTTTATTAATTGTTGCAATTAAACATATTAGTAATTCAAAGTCAAATACACTTTTATTAATTGCTGCTAGTCAGAATAACTTAAGTGATGCTCTCAAAAACTGGCACACTAGACAGCTGCCTATGTCACCTATGCTTGGAGCTATTCGATTTAGAGTGCAACTGCTTAGTGCAGTAATTTCTGGACGGCATTATTTCCAGTATAGCTCACTTAGTCACCGTGCAATGGTTATATTTTTGGGTACTATTTTGTTATGGTGACCGGATCCAGAAATGCAGGTATGTATGCACATGTATATGTATGTGCATATATATATACACACATACATTCGTATGTACATATATACATGCATACACGAATACATCCATACATACATGCATGCATACATACATTTCTAACTCCGGCCCCAATAACAGAGTGGTATCTATTATTTTGTTTAATTATTAAAGTAAAAAATTAAACAAGAACAAATAGACATTTATTTTAGGCATTAATATTTTATTAATTTTAATGGAAATATTGGAGTACATTTTATTTTAAATATTCAAGAAGTTTTATTTTAAAATTTATTTTTAATTTCTATTATTGAGACTAAATTCAGATATCGCCAAAAGCTGACGATCAGGAGAAAAATTCGAAGCATAAGAATAACCACCAAAATATTAAAATTATGATAAATAAAATACAATTAAGTTGAAGAAAAATCCAAGGGAAAAAATAACAACAGATATTCGTAAAATTAAAAAATTTTAATGTAAATTAAACAACTTGCCAAAGAAAGAAGGGAACAAAAATTCCTTTTATGGTTTTTTGTGCACTTTTTTCAGGCTGAATAATTTCTTATTCCCGGAAAAATTGTATGGAAGATATTTCATCATTACGTAGGTCTAAATTTTCAAATCCATGGTAAACACAATAATAATAAAAACACAAGTGACCGTTATATATTTGAAATTTGCATTCTCGTTGCCAATTTTGAAAAGATATTCTTTTACTTTTAAAGAGTTCACACTATGACAAATTTAGAAGTAAACATTGGAGACTTCATATGGAGTAATCTCTTGGCGAATTCAGCAAACATTTGACGACGACTCTGGTCTTGATAACAGAATAGTACCCACTTTTGTCACATTACATTTATGACCATGATATATCCACAGGGATGCGACATTGTGATGTTGATGTGAATGCTGCATGGATGCTGCACACACATGCACACAGAACATACATGTGACAAGAAAATTTTCAGTCTCTCTCCACCAACTTTCAGAACCTTGATCTTATAATTCTTCTTTAATAGGTGGTATCCCTGTATGCTGACCTTGCTCAAGTCCCCATTACTTAATGATTCTGTGCTCTAATCCCTCCGATTCATTGTTAAATTTTTCAATAAAATTTTGGAAGTAAATTGTTTTTTATGCTAATAGTGTGTGATTTTAGTTATTCCTTTTTCAATAGAAATATATATAGTTTAAAGTGTGTTTTTTACTTCATGTGATACTAAGAAATCTTGGAACTATGTTCTGTAATGAATGCATACACATTCTACCATATCTAGCGTTATTAAGAGAAGCTGACTAATGAGTTTAGTACTGTGTTTTTTGTCTTAAGGATTTTCATGGCCTTTCTTTTAGTTCTGTTCCTCCATTCGCTCAAAATCTCATCACTGCTAAATTTTCAGGTAAGCACTAGTTATTGAATATTCAAGTGAATGATATCTGTAATAATACATAATAATAAAAGCATAATTTTAGAACAAGAAGATATAATAAATTGAAAATGAATTCAATTTTATTTGCATTAAGAAGACGGCAGAAGCAAGGGCATGAGCAAAAGTTTACTGTTGTTTTTTCCTTAAAAATTTTAATTTAGGAAAATAGAAATGTAATTATAGTATTAAATTTTTCTTCTTCTTCACTGGCTCAACAGCTCAGGGTGTGCCCTGCCTTCTCCAGGCATCTCTGTTTTTGGCAACTTTTTCCAGTTTTTACCTTTTAGAATGTTTAGGTCACTTTCAATGTAATAGATCCATCTCAACAAGGGTCTACCCCAAGGTCTGCTTCCATGGGCTTTTCCAGAAAGCTTTTCTTACAATACTGATCTTCATGCATTCCGGCCAAATGACCACCCATTTAAGTCTCTGTAATTTGAAGAATTTTACTACATCGGGTTGTCTATAGATCTTCTCCACAATCCATTTACCCACACCAATTACCCAACACAAAATCCCTCTCTCAAAAAAAATCCCCAAAGCTTCCTCATCATGTGAAGTCAATGCCCAAGCTTCTGAAGCATAAGTGAGAACAGATCCTAAAACACTCTTGTAAAGAAGCAATTTAGTTCTTAACTTGAGAAAGCTGGATTTTAAATAGCTTTTCAGGCCATGAAAACATCTACTTGAAACAGAGATTCTTTTACATATTTCAGAAGTAATCTCATTTTTACAATTCATCTCCATTCCCAGATAAGTGAAACAGTAGACTTTTATAAATCTATAGCTATTAATTTCTAAATGACCAGCATATATTTTATTTTCGTTAACAGATAGGTTAAATCTTTTTGAATTTTTTTCCAGTGCCATGAATGCCTGAGTAAGAGCAGGAGCAGTACGGGCGACAATGGAAATATCATCTGAATAGGACAATAATTCAATAAATAGTCTTATTAAAAACACTTCCGCTAACTGATTCTAGAATCTCTAATATTTTTTCTATGTGCAATATTAATTAAGAGGCATATCAATGCATTCCACTATCTTACTCTATTCTTGACTTCAAGTTGTTCTGTAAGGTCACCTTGTAAACAAATTTGTATCTCATCTTGGTTTCCTTAACCCTTTCCGGCACGCTACCGGCTCTCCGATCTGTTTGGAAAATAGTTAAAAATCCGAAAAAAATAAACTAATATTATATCTAAAATTTGAAATTATAAACTATAAAATAAAAATGTCTACAACTTAAAACTATTAAACGTAATGTTAAGAAACTCTTTGAACAAAGTGAAAGAGAAAAAGAGAACTGCTCTAGTGAAAAACCAAACAGCTAACTGATGAAATTATCCCTGACCTTTAGAAA